ATCGGACCCCAGTGCATCTATGCTGATGCTGCAGAAGACGCCTTTGGGCGTCGACCGAATGGCCAATCTTGATAGTTCGCGGTTGACCTCCAGGGGGAAGTACTTCGGCAACATAAACATGGCCTGCCCCATCTCTCTTATGGGAAGGTCGTGCATAGCGAGGCCAGCGTGCCATGTTGAAATAACAGGCCAGAATGGGGGTGGGAGACGATGCGGTAGGTGGTGTGGGCGACGATGCGGTGGGTGGTATGTGTGACGATCACAGAGGCGCCTCCTTCCCACTCTCTCGCGCTCGCTCGCGCTCACTCTCACTCTCTCCCTCCCTCGAGCGGCCAGTTGCGGGGCCTGGGTCGGCATGAGGGGCGACGATGCCAATGTCTTCCACACCGTCAGGATGACGCAGACAGGGTCGTTTTGTAGGTCTTCTTGGACGTGCCGTTGGTGTAATGACCATATTGAAGGGGAAGAGTCGCCTTCGTCTTCAGCCTTTCGTTGTACGGGGAGGCAATAGTGCGTGAGACGACACCTGTTGCAGCTGGTCCAATGCACAAGTTGTGGGTTATAACCCAACGGTCCAATGCGCAAGACATGGGTTATATACCAAAATATACTATAAAAGCATAATGTGACTAATGTGACATCGTATATGTTATTGTAAATCACCTTTTCTTCAGGCCGATGACTCGTGATGTAATATTGGGCTCCTAGGAGAGGAGGGAATAGAGATCAATAATAACTAGAGAAGGAGTGATGCAGCATCATGTGACCATCAAAACAATTGATCTCTTGCAAAACTGGTTCAACAAAGGTTAGATTTAGTTTGGACCATCAATCCCATCACTAATATCATACCAAACAGCTCAAAAAAGAATAAAATGAAACCAAGGAATTATTTCTCCAAATTCCCCTGGGCTATAACCCATGTCTTGTGCATTGGACCTTTGGGTTATAACCCATATCTTGTGCATTGTAAGAGGGGCACCAGCTGGAGACGAAGGTGAGACCTTCTCGGTTATATAGTCGGCCGACTTGATACTTATAGGCAACTTGCCTCTCAGGGCAAGATCAAACGACGAGGGAGGTCCACCTGTTTAGCCCACCCAACACTGTGAATTATCAGTGGTATTGTGCCGGGGTGCCATTGACAAGGCTCAGTATTATTATAACATCCCTAGTGGCGAATAATTGTCCTAGAGGGGGGTGAATAAAGGTGAGCTCCAAGGCAAAATTCGCACTAAGTCCAGAATATAGGGGGTGAATAAAGGTGAATAATACAACACTGGCCATTTGCACCAAGTTTCCACGAGTCACACCATGTGACATGTGACACTGTGACCTAAAAAGGAAGTTTTCTATTGATCAATACTTGAGCTGGTCGGAGCACCTGTGTCTCACTATTATACAGTGTTACTGAGTGTGACAACCATGACAAATTTCCAAAACAGGATTTTTTTTTGCCTTTTGACAGTACAACCACCAGAAAATGTCACATATTGTCACAAAATCAAAGTTGTATATCTTCACTATATAGTGAACTTTTATTAGGTAACCTGTACTGCCAGCTCAATAATTGCATCAGTATGAGCCAATCACTAACTGATATACAACTGATGAGATGATATCTCAACAACTAGATAAGCTACTGAGTTGATTGAAGCACTACTGGGGACATTTGAATAATGAGAGCAATATTCTTATCAAATGATATTATCAGTAGATGTACACTGCCTAATGATTGTGCATCAGACTTATTGATCAAGCAATATATTCCCCAGTTCTTCTTGCATTCAGATGATCATTTCACTAGTGGGTAGGTAGTTATGTCATCATGATATGATCTAATACAAGTATAGTCTCATACCTTTAGACTATCCTGTTATGGCCCTGTTTTGTCTTTCTGGTTCTTCAAATTTGATTAAGCATAATGATGACCTGATATCTAGGCAAGGAATGCAGGGATAGCCATGATCTAAGTTGTTTTATAAACTAATGAATCTCCTTCATAGCTCTGAGCAACATATTCATTTTTAGACACTCTATATGTCTGTATATATGCCAGAGATCTTATTGTGCCAATCTCCTAATAACTCACTCAGACATGAGGGACTGCCAATGGGGCAATAGTAGAAAGCACACAGAGGGGTACCCTTATAAGAAAATATCCCTCACACCGGCCTGTATGCACGTTATCCTCTGTTATTGTCCATTATACATATGACTGTTATTACACATCATATTGGCAATACAGCTATGATCTGCTAGTTGATTATGGATCAAAATATGTCAAGTTCAATCAATGAAGTATATACATGTACCCACCTATTCTGATCGATGAGTGTATTCCCTTGGATGGTGAATTGGGGCGGATATTTAACTACAAAGAAAGTGCAACACTGGTTTACCTAAATAGTGCGGTCTATAGACTGAGTATTGAACATTGAGGTGGGTGTATGAGGATATTTGAATATCTACTAGGACCCTGGACCATAATTAGTCATTGTTCTGGCATGTGTCACTAAAGGTAGCTGAAGAGAGGGTAGGTATCCACAGAGCAAAAGAAAGTGTCTTTGCTATTACAACTGGTCAGAAAATAATTTCAAGTATGATCTAAGACTTGGATCTAGGATTGTCTAGACCATTGAATGAACCTGTCACTGGGGGCACAGCCTACGGCGTGCCGGAACACGCGGTGCAGCCCCGTGACTGACTCCGGGCTTGCCTCTGACCTAACATCCCCCGGCGGGTGTTGTACATGTTGATCATGAAGAAGAGCAAGTGTCGCCGGTCGCGTTCGCCCAGATCGTGCCGTACATGCTGATTGTGCACCTAGCCTCAGGCTGTTTCAGCGCGGAATAGAGGGGACAAATCCCGCCTGCCGGAAATGAAGGGCCGGGACGTCGTTGCCCAAAAGGTCGCACTGGAAACGCTAGTCGGGTGGCTGGTTGCCACGACGCGGACCGCCGCTCCGGACACCGCGATAGCGAAGACACGAAGTTGCCAGTCACGCGACTGACGCTAGACGGTCTTGCTGTGGTTGGAAGGAGACGTAGGGTGTTTGGCGAGGAATTGGCCTTGTGTGGCTGTGGCCGCCTCTCAGCATTTGAGCTTGTCCGGTGACGTGTCGGCGGCCGGAATTCGGGGGTCTGAGCCCACAACATTCAATTTGTCGACAGTAGTGCAACGGCGGTGTCGTCGTCATCTATCAACTGTGAGTGGTATTTAAAGCGGTATAACTTGCAGAGAGGTGGTGGTTGTGTCAGGAGAAGTGGTGGCGATCGGGTTACGCTGATCCCAGCGTGATTCCTTGAATCAGTGATTGCATGAAAACTCGTGTTCGGCTAATGGGGGTTGAAAGGCCGGAACCACGGGGCATCATTTCTTTCATGAGTAAAAGTAGTTTACTGTACCTTGGAGCAACACCATTTGAAAGAGGCAAGAACGCGGTTGGAACGCGGTAGGTCAGAGGTGAGCCCGGAGTCAGTCACGGGGCCAGGCCGCGTGTTCCGGCACGCCGTAGGCTGTGCCCCCCAGTGTGTCCAGCACCTGAATCAGTCTCATAACTAATCTGGATCTCTCACAGTACTCTTATCAGTGTTATCTATAGTCAGAATGATGAGTTTACCATGGCATGGCTTTTGCACATCTCATGGATCTAAATATATCTACTAGTAGGGCTATGATCCACCTCCCAGAAAGCGGTATCCCTGCCCCCTTAGCATATCTCTATCTTGGGTTATATGGCACCTGAGGTCTCCTAGAATTGACTGGCCCTAACACTTGCCATATGGTTGAAAGTGGGTAGGGGTGTGGTGGACCATCCTATAGCACTATATCAGCTTAGACCATGAGATTACATGCATGTAGTCCCAGGATATCAGCAAAATACTGCTCAACTTAGTATTAATGCATGCTTGGCAGTGAATAAACCAAGACAGTAGGGACAGGGAATATATTCAATGCATCTTAGGCATAGTAGGATGATATACCTTTCAAATGAGCTCTCTCCCAGCATTATCCACCAAGTATAGCTGAAGATCTGTGCTCATCTTCCAGAGGTGATGGAGATCAAATGCCACTGATGAGTGAATGTATTGCATTTTCAGTGCCCTATTCACTTGGGAATTGCAATTGGACATAGTAGAGCCTTAGCTTATGGTATCTGAAGTTACAAGTCAGCAACACTATGACTTTGAGCCCTAGATATCCTTCTTTATATGAATGAATAGTTGATATAGTCATTATATAATATAACAGTGATCAAATGTGAGGTTAAAATCATGATACTCTTGAAAACCTTCCTGATAGTACTTGAATCATGTTTTTACCTCAAGTGGTTATAGAGATAGAGGCCCATCAGTTGTACATCAGCTAGTAATTGGACAGTTGTGATGTGACTAGTGGACTACCACTATGTATCACTTAATGAAAGTTGTTCATATGGTTAAAAATAGACCACTCTCAGAATGTGACCAGTTGTGACATTCTCTGATGATTATAGGGTCAAGTAGTGAAAATTTCCTTTTTTGGAAATTTGTTATGCTTATTGCTCCATGTGACAAAAAACAATGTGACATATGCGCTGAAACCATCAGCTCAAGTATTGATCAATAGAAAACTTCCTTTTTAGGTCACAGTGTCACATGTCACATGGTGTGACTCGTGGAAACTTGGTGCAAATGGCCAGTGTTGTATTATTCACCTTTATTCACCCCCTATATTCTGGACTTGGTGCGAATTTTGCCTTGGAGCTCACCTTTATTCACCCCCCCTCTGGGACAATTATTCGCCACTAGGGATGTTATGATAATACTGAGCCTTATCAATGGCACCCCGGCACAATACCACTGATAATTCACAGTGTTGGGTGGGCTAAACAGGTGGGGAGGTCGTACTTCAGCGATGTGGATGGTCTACAACGTTGGATGGTTGTGCGGTGGATCTAGTGAGCATAACCAGAATCAACGGCGCAATTTCCACCAGAAAAAACAAATCTCACCTGACTACTCGTAGCCCAATCTACTTGTTATGGTACGGCCAGGGAAATCCTCATTTTCGCCACCCTCCTCATCGTCCTCCAGTTCGCTGTCAGATTCAGCAAGTGTTCTCCCTGCAACCCAGTCATCGGGCTCCCCCAGTTCTTCTTCGCCATCCAGGACTACCTCGTCACACTCTTGCATGATATCGACTACTTCTTCAACAACCTCTGCAGTCGGTGGGTCCAGCTCTGGATTTGTCATCGAGTTTCTGGTTGGGTTTCGAGACTTGCGATGGCCGACAACGTTGTCGTGATAACGCATTAACATATCTCGGTCCACTACCCTGGGGTAAGGTCAGACCCGTATTTCATTCCTTGGGAAGACTCACATATTGACATAGAAATATGTCCAATCTTCATCCTGGTCAGATGGTCGACGAGCGACAGATTTGGGAAGATATTCCTTAGTGCGGCCGTGGGCAAATGCCGGGATAAGGTGGCAGCCACGAATGATATCTTTGGGGTCAAGAAAGCCGAACGTATCGGGTTGATCATGAAACATATATTGAACTCGAGGCAGCCGCTTCGCCTTCAAACCGCAAGGGTAAGCCATATCGCGCTGCAACCACCGCATCCAGAGAAATTCCATGCGTTGAGCTTTCCCAGGTTGGTCAGCCAGAAGTACCCGCGCGTGGAAGATTCCGAGCACTTCGCCATACCAGATTGGATGCGAATCCAATGGATCTTGCGCGCGAACAATGCAGAACCTCCGAGTGCGGGGATTGATGATATCCTGATCTCTTCGGAGGTTAAGTGGTAAAGTTCACTCGAAGAGTAGCATGAGTGTAGAGGGCATCTTTCTCGATGGCAACGTTTACAAGTTCCTCGTCGGTGAACTGCATGTCGTCACCGTCATACTCCAAACTCAAAAGTCGTCGACGGAGATGAGACTTGAGCTTCCGCGTAAAGTCCTAGTATGATTGAGTCGCAAATCCAAGATACAATAGAGCACTCACTTGGAGAGCGGGATCGGGCGCAGCAGGGTTAGACTTGTCCACTATCTGTTCACTTGTCTCAGAAGGATAATTAGGTCTGAGATGATCAAGAATACCATTGGACCCTCTCCACCGTTATCTGAGTCAGAATCCGAGTCCGTGTCAACAAACTCTGAAAGTCGAATGGACGTTCGAGTGGAATCGGAAATGTAATGATGCTGTTCGGGAGGAACATAGGCATAATGTCCATATGTGGCTCGGGGACAGAGTAGACGTTTACGTTGTTTGCCCCCTTGTTTGTTTGAACTAGTTGAGTTCATGGTAGAGACTTTGGGATCGACCCCCGAAGTCGAGGTCTGATTGGCACGCCGCTCCTCTTCCTCCTTCGCTCCCACATTGCTCTTATCAATCGTCGACGTCGCTGATGTTTAGCAATCTGCTTGACATGCTCTCGTTTGTTGGTGCGCTGATAGAGATATTTGACCAGACGGTGTGCAACTTCTCCCTGGGAGATTTCAGACAATGGCAACTCTCAATAAAGACACATACGATCTGGGTAGAAGTTGAATCAGTTGTTCCAAACCTAGCGATAGCATCCGGGTAATCAGGGAGTGAATGGAGCTTATATGTGATCATGTTGAATGGCTTCTCTAATTTCTGACTCGGTGTTTTCTTGGTGATGGGAGGCGTCGCCGGGGTCAGGGTGGCAGGCTGCGATGGACCAGAAGCCACAGCATCAGGTGGATCAGGGATGGATGGGGGAGGTGCAGGGAGCTTGCCCGACTTGCCCGACTTGGAGGTTTTGTTGTTCTTGAGGTCTTTTTGGGGATTGGAGGCGGAGCTGTGTTCTGTGTCGCGGGCTGTGATGGGGCGGAAGTAACGACGTCCGGTAAATTGGTATGTGTAGGTGTGTCAGGAATGGATGGAGTAGGTAGGGGGAGCCCAGTGAACTCGGCGGAAGACTTTTTGGACTTTGAGGCCTTGTTCGTTCTTCGCCTTTCTTCTCTAGGAAGCTCGTAAGTTTTGACATTGGCGGCTTCACGGGCGAAGCGACGGATGGTTGTGCAAAGATCAGTGGTCGCCGCACGAAAGAGTTTCATAAAAGATGTCGTATGCATCCGAAGTTTGGCATATCCATGCCAGATTGCCAATTCAAAACAGAGTTTGTCGATAAGTTCTTGATGTAAAGGAAATAGTCCTTCGAGTACCGGAAGAATGCAATATAAAGGTGGGTCTTGAATAACTCAACGGGCAGTAAGAGAAGCCTACCTGAATAATATCTTCGTAGTTTCGGGCTGCTGCATACTTCAACTCCGGGCTGCTGCATGTAGGAACTTGCCGAAACCTAAATTATTTGTCAGCACCACGACTTCGGGTTCAGAAAAGTTGAGTACCGTTGGTCGAATTCATCAACATTCTTGAAAGCATGCAACATCCGGATAAGATGTATGATGATAGCTTTGCCAACCCCCAGCTCTATTTCATGCAAGAAGTCCGGAACGAACATGGTAAACAGATTCCAAGGAGTTTTGATCGTGTCGAGTTTCGAGAAAGCGTTCTAAATGCAGAAAGATCAGCTATTACCAAAATCTGGATGAATACTCACCCGTGTCGGGGCCCACGATTACAACTTGAGCATTTTGTCGATGGCGGAACTGGCAACAGCATTCCCATTGGCGAACATGGCAGCTCGGGCAGACTCTATGGTATACCGTCGTGAATGATCATCCACTCGGAGGTTGCTCTGACGCTTCATATCGTTGACGGTGCCGGTTTCAGAGATCTGCGCTTTTTTGATAAAGCACTGAGGGCAAGGACATCCACCAAAGCTTCGAATCATCGCAAGAAGAACCCTGTGATAAGTAAGCGTGGAGGACCAGAACGAGAGACAACCACACTTTTCAGGATAATCCGCGCCATAAATGAGGAAACGAGGGAAAACCAACCGTATAAAGCCGTCCCAACATTTGATTTTGATGCCATTATCGTATGCAGCGATAAACTCGTCGGAGAGCAGCAACTCCCAAATGGCGTGAATAAGTTCACGCTTTAGATGGGTATCTGGCATATCACATTTGTAGTGCTCTCGATAGGCGTCGCCAACCGTGTCAGGAAGCTAATGGTTGATTAAGAGGGCACTCTATCGATGCTGATTACTTACCGACGCGAAATATACTTGATGGAATCCCGCATTAGATGTAGGTTTACTGCGAAAATCTTTGGGATGATTTCCAAAGAAGGTATAACCAGGCCATAACGATGCGGTGCCAAATTGCGCAAGGTGGGTTGCATCAGACCACTCCATCAGGGCGACAACAATACTCTCCACCGGATCATCAGGACTTTGAGGTGGTGGTGGCTGAGGGAGCGCATGATAGGCCTCGAGCATCGCAGCGGAAGTGCATATTTCACTGAAGATTTCTTCGTGTCCAGCGGGAAGAGGAGGTATTCCATATTCATTGAGAGAGGGTTGGCTGTCGTGGTCGTGCATAACGATATCGGGCAAGTCCAGATCGGATTCAGGGATAGCCCGCAGTGAGAATGGTGTGGTATGGAATTTTTGGAAGAGCGGACCCTGCAAGACTTCCTTGATGGGGTCAAGCAGCGGACGGAAAAGGATATCGTTGACGACGAAAACTGGTGCGGCGGATTCAGGCTGATGATGCCCCACGCAAGGGAGCTTGAGGCTGACAGAGCCATTTTTCCATTGATCTGTAATCCCGAGTGGGGTGATACCATGTGTGTCCAGGTGGTCCAGATATTTTTGCGTCGAAAAAGGCATTGGTAATTCATTGAGCGTAATTCCATCCGATTGTGCTTCTTGATTTGGTTGTAAAATGTTCGCAACGAAGCGGTCGAACCCAGCTATCGATTGAGGGTGTTCCTCTTCGATATGATATTTCATCATGTGGGCGACCGAGGCATTTGGGAAAGGATAATACCAAGGCTCTGAGGGAAGTGGGAGATCTTCCAACATGACATCTTCTGGACCAGGCACTTGGTAAAGCTCTCCAAGAGTTACTGAGGCGTCGGGGTCGTGAGTAGGTCGACGTGGGTAAACTTTATAGAGGCCAAACGCGTTTGGGGCTGTCTCCACCCATTCTCTTGGAATTTGTGAAGGGGGAGAGACATCTAGTGCTGATGGGACGGGTTGAGATGGAGGGATATGGCCAGATTGCGGGTTGGTTGTCGCAGATCGTCGAACGCGCGGCGCAGGGGGTGGCGCAGCATCATTAAATTTGGCTGGCATACGAGTACGCCGGTTGGGAAGGCCACTCCGACGAGTAGGTGGAGTAGGTGGTGGAGGGGGTAGTGAGGGGGGTTGAGGAGGATCAATATCCATCTGTCCAGCTTCAAAATTGAGTAAAGTAACAGAAAATCTGGATTACCGGCAGGGTTACTTGCGGTTGAGCCTGAGTTGCTAAATGCTGTTGGATGTACTGGACGGACTCTGGATGGAGCCGTTTGAACCTGACCCAAGTACGATCATGAACCCTTTGTGCATCGTCTCGATTTTTGAGGACTTTGCCACATAATGGGCACTGGGGTTTGTTTTTTGGCATTGACAGGGAGATGAATGAGCTTTGGTATGTTGACGGGACCAGGTCAGGCAATTGCCTGCCTGGTCACCGGGATCGTTCAGAGCAAAAAAAAAATTGATGAGTCAGCAAATCAACTTCAAAACGACAAGTGATGAGAAAACTTCGGAACGGGTAACGACCGTATACAATTGGTGCAGCCTCAAGTGTCTAAAGAGCTCCAGCACTTGGCTTGAAACAGGCAAGCCGAAAATGCGTAGGTAAGAGTTCAGCGCATGAAAACCCCTTCGCCTGACCATTCGAAAGTTCCTCCGCGTCCTCCTCCGCGTCCTCTGCATCTATCACCACGTTGCACGGATGCCACGGTCGATCACGTAAGGTTTCTGACTGGTTGTATTTCCCACTGGGCGGGTTCGCGATGCCGCCACATCCATGGGGTCCTGCACAGTCTCGAGTCAAGAATTCAGGTCGAAAATATAGGACTTCCGCCTCATTGAACTGGGTTTTGACATGCACTTCTGACACTCAAGAGGTTAAGCATTTGGAAGTCCTTCTTTCTCGGTTTTTCTTCAACTTCGTCCTCTGTCCTTGACCGAGCCATCAGTAAGAAGGAGACACTTGGAAGATTCGACCTGGATAGTGTCAACAAGCTGCAGCAACGTCAGGTCACGACACTCACTTTTTAGCACTAGCACCAACAAGATCAGTAAAGCCCAGACCAAGTATATTCTCTTTCAGAAGTTTGCCGTTCTTGGAATTGAGCATCGAAACTTAATGCCGGTCTGGTCGGTGTAAGCGAGAGTCATTATATACGATCGTGAAGACTTGCCTAGCATCCAATATTCTTCTAGAGATGTTTTTCAAGTTCGGGGTTCTTCTCTTTGACGAAGGCAAACTCGCCCTCATATGCACTCGAATTACATGCTTGATCTGGGACGGTAGCCCTACTGCAACAAGAGCAGCAAGTTGTGTTCTGCCTTTCGTTCCTGGAGAAGAAGCATCAGCTGGAGAAAAATGGTCCACCGACAGACAGACAGACTGGAGTGGGATAAACGATGAATGCTCGTCCGACATTGGCACAGGACGACTTGTAACGAAGGCCAAAAGCAACCAACAGGACGCTCTTGTGTAAAACGTTGTCAGTTGTCGAATTCGGCAGTGTATCGCAGATCGTAACTGGTGCTGGCAGAGAGCGAGATGATTATGAGTGGGTAGCATAATCCGACCAGTGGCCAAAAAATCTAAGCCTTGAGTGAGACAAGGTCCAGTTCGAAATAGAGGATGGACATCGCTCAGGTTTCGCATCATCTCCTTCTCCTGTGCCCAATCTTGCTTCAATTTGAGCAGCGAGAATAATGCTTCAGCAGCGTCGAGGTGCGAGCTGGAGGCATTCCTACGCCGACGGTGGTGAATTTCAATGAGAGTGAGGAATACGAAGACCCACAAATTCTTCGTTATCCTGGACTGCCATGAACGCTGAAAAAACGCTGGACCCATTTCGGTGTAACTTCCCATTTCGGTGTAACTTCCGGCTTTTCCTGCACGTCTTCGAAGTCTTTTTTCTCGCTCATCGATAAGTTTTCCTCGATGGGCTTCCTGTGGCAACGATCCGACACACTTTTTCGACGCGTACAGGGAATGGACTCGCGGGAAAATCCATATCCACCGAGAACTTTGGCTTCGGCAAGAGCAGGGTGGCAGACAGCGGCGTGAGATTGGAGGAGAGCGGTGTTTGTATCGTTGGTGCTGGCGATGGGAGGGTCGTCGGGTGTCTGGTATGACCCATAGAAACTTGTTGCAAGACGCATGGGAAGGCGTCGTTTGCGGGCTCTTTGCTCTTCGACTGTGTCAGGGGAACCCCCGCTTCGGCCTCCTTCGGACCCTCCGAACACATCCGAGGCGCATCCGACCGGCGCCCCCTCGGACACTCCGACCCACCCCGACCATCGTCCACGGCCTCCTTCGCCCGCACAATCACCGATCCGTCAAGACCCTCCCAACGATCACCTTGGGACAGAGCCTGCGACGCCGCTCAGGCCTTCTGCGCTCTACGTCGGCAGTTACGGACGACCAGTATATAGTTGGCGCCCTAGCAGGCGGACCCTTAGAGTTTCTTCTCTTTGGATCCTCCCCTGCTAGGTCGGTCCCTCCGTGTATTTCCTGTAGTCTTATTCACGCTTTGGATCCTCCCCTGCTAGGCTTTCGTCGGAGTCTCCAGGGTTGCCCTTACAGCAGAAGAAACTCTCTACGGGATTAACCGGTCAAGATTGCCAGGTTTGGTGCTGACTCAGGCTCGGAGTACGAGTCCGTACCCCCCTCGTCACCGCCCCTGCCACTTGACCCCTCCTCCTCTGCTCTTGTCGTCTTTACGCCCGCTATGTCTACCGGAGCTGCTCCGGACGCTGACGCGCGCATGGAGCACTTGAGGCGAAACTAGACAACCTCACCAATATCCTCACCCACCTTGCTTCCCAGGCTTCCGCTGCCGCACCACCTCCGGCAGCTCCCGAACCGCCGCCGGCATCTCCGAATGCCCCCGACGCGGATGCGTTATTTGGTGACATTACTGTCGCCTCAAAACTGGTCTTACGACCAAACCCCCTTTTGCGTTTAACGGAGATCGCAAACGCGGCCGCGCCTTCCTATACGCGGTCAAAACCTACGCTCGGCTTGCCCCGGGAGGCCTTCGTGGTTAACGGAGAGCCGAGTGAAGAAAAGGCCGTCCGCTACGCCATGTCCTATATGGCGGAGGGACCTGCTCAGCAATGGGCAGACCCCGCGGACCGCTTCGGGAGCTCCGCGCGGCGCCTTCCCCATCACTCGTTCGGCAACTCCGTTCCCCATCCGCCCGGTGGCCCCGCCTGTGCCACCCGCGGCCCGCGCCCCCGTCCCGGTACCTCCGGCTCCCGTCCCTATGGAGCTGGATCATACTAGGGCTCGGGGTGCCCCTCGTCGAGCCTGCTTCAGATGCGGCGACCCCAACCATTTGGCTCGGGACTGTCCGCTCCCCGCCGACATCCGCCATGTGGACATCCTCGACGAGGTAATCCAGCAACTTGGCGATGAGATGCTGGGAGAGCTGCTTGCGCGGTTGTCCGATACTGCGGTCTTAGCGGAGGCGCATTCGGAGGCTCCGGCAGAGGATTTTGTCCCCCGCGACGAGTGACTGGTGTGCCCTCGTTCGCGTCCATAAATCGTTTCACTTGTTTGTATGATGAATCAACTCCCTTGCCCTACAACGAGCCCGAAACGAAAGACGCACCCTCTGCCCCCTCCGAAGCCCCCGTTCGGATTCGCCGACTTGCCTGGGAGAAAAAGCTACCTGGCAGTTATACCATCTCTGCCGCTCCTGGCGTTAACTCGCTGCACCTCCCCCTTGAACTTGAGTCCACTGCGAACGCGCTCAAGCTCTCCCTCTCGGGTCTGGTCGACTGCGGAGCTACTTCGGACTTTATCGACACAGAATATGTCAACCGGAATAATGTGCCAGTCCGAAATCTCTCAGTACCCATCCCGGTCTACAACGTCGATGGCACCCCCAATGATGCTGGGTCTATTCGCTAAATCGCGGACCTCGTTCTACGGTACAACGGACACTCCGAACGCGTTCAGCTGGCTGTAACCCACCTTGGGAAACAGGACCTGATACTCGGATACTCCTGGCTCAAAAAGCATAACCCCGAGATCAACTGGGAAACAAAGGAGGTGAAAATGAGTCGTTGCCCCCGCAGCTGCTCTACCTGCCGTGACGAAGAGCGGACCGAACGCGCCGAGGTTCGGCGGCTCCGACTCCTTAAATCACGACTACTTGCGGGCGCCTTCCCCACTGTTTGCGCTATCGATATCGCTGGCCCAGATGATGCTGACGACGAGCTCGGAGCTGCTTCGGACCCTCCGGAGCCCTCACCAGATCTCGACGGCGACGAGCATCTTGAAGACGGCGACCGCATCTTCTACACCTCCTTTCGCCCAGTTGAGGAGATCCGCGCTGGCAGTACAGTGTCCCAACGCCTTGCAGAGGCCTTCGCCCGTAACTCGGCCCCCCCGCCTTCGGAGATCCCGGACTGGGCCAAGGAGTTCCAAGACGTCTTCGACAAGGAGTCCTTTGACACGTTACCAGAACGAAGGGCTTGGGACCACGCTATCGAACTCGTCCCCGACGCGAAGCCCGCTAACTGCAAGGTGTACCCGATCTCTCCCCTGGAACAGCGCAAACTTGACGAGTTCATCGAGGAAGGACTTGCCACAGGCCGTATTCGCCCTTCGAAATCTCCGATGGCCTCCCCCATCTTCTTCGTTAAGAAAAAGGACGGAGGGCTTCGGTTTGTCCAGGACTACCGCGCCCTCAACGCAATGACGATTAAGAACCGGTACCCCCTTCCGTTGATTAACGACCTTATCAACAGGCTCAAGGGTGCTCGTTACTTCACCAAACTCGACGTTCGCTGGGGTTTTAATAACGTCCGGATTAAAGAAGGAGACGAGTGGAAGGCGGCCTTTCGGACTAACCGAGGGTTGTTCGAACCTTTGGTGATGTATTTCGGCCTGACAAACTCCCCCGCGACGTTCCAAACGATGATGAATGACATTTTCCAGGATCTCATTCTTTCAGGCGACATTATGATCTACCTCGACGACATCCTTATCGCACATTCGGACCTTCGCAAGCACCGCGAGATCGTCCGGGAGGTCCTTCGGCGGCTCCGAATGCACAAGTTGTACCTTCGCAAGGAAAAGTGCGACTTCGAGAAATCGTCAATCGAGTACTTGGGGGTCATTATCTCACACAACCATGTCGAAATGG